CTTAGTTCTACACAGTCTTAATTTAACGTTTTTGCCATTTAAACAGGGGCAAAGGATGGATCTATGCAAGGGGTGCAATGAATGTTCTCCGGATGTTATTCCAAACTTTCCAAGGTCCTGAATTCTATCCCCAAAATAGGTTCACTATTTTCGGTAGGAACTATAAAGTCAAGTATAAAAGCCGGAAACAAATTCAATGTAAAGGTCTTCTAACTCATCAAGATACCACCATGCTATTAAATAAATGACTTCCAAGCAAGAAAAGCCCCTCCCCAAGCCCAAATTAAATATCATCCTAGACATGGATTAAGTGGGCATCTCTTTTATCCAGCACCAGATAACATCTATAGTATTCCTATAAGGATTACTGGGAACCATGTATGTAAATCATATAGGGAAAGTGCTTTTCAGGCCAATGGGGTTATTACCAAATATTTTTTTAAAGGATCGGGATGTTAATAAATGAAATTGAAATGGAAATGTAAAGTAACTTGCTAAAGGTCAATCACTGAGTCAGATTTAGAATAGAACCTGTGTCAGTTGAGTTTATGGTCAACATCTCATTGGTTTCCATTAACTAAGTCGACAGTTTCATCTTTTAGTTTAAGTGGGTTTTTGTAAAGCAACTCTTGTGTGGGTTGCAGTTTTCTGGGGTTTATCTGTTTCATTTATTTTTTTCTAAACAAGGATTCCCCCCCCCCCCTCGGTGGTGCAATGGGATAAACCTTTGTGAAGGCAGGGCTGCATAATGGTTTAACCTGGGAAGAGCGGGTTGAGCTCCCTTTGGCAGCTCCAGCTTCCCATGCAAGGACATGAGAGAAACCTCCCACTAGGATGGTAAAACATTAAAAAATCATTCAGGCATCCCCTGGGCAACATCCTTGCAGACAGCCAATTCTCTCACAGCAGTTTCTCAAGTCGCTTCTGACATGAAAAAAAAATCAAAACAAAAAGGAGCTGTTTTGAATCAAATTAGATCAAATATACATTTAGCTTGGAACTGTCCACCTCATGGATGGCATGTGTTTCCCCCCCACCCTCCAAATGGTGTAGGACAGGGGTCCTAAAACTTTTTAAACAGGGGGCCAGGTCACAGTCCCTCAAACTGTTGGGGGGCCGGATTATAATTTGAAAAAAAGTGAATGAATTCCTATGCACACTGCACATATCTTATTTGTAGTGGGGAAAAACACTTAAAAACAATACAATAATTAAAATGAAGCACAATGTTAACAAATATAAAGTTATTAGTATTTCAATGGGAAGTGTGGGCCTGCTTTTGGCTGATGAGATAGGATTGTTGTGTTTGTTGTGTGCTTTCAAGTCGTTTCAGACTTAGGTTGACCCTGGGCGAGGGCCTGGTAAATGACCTTGGAGAGCCGTATCCGGCCCTTGAGCCATAGTTTGAGGACCCCTGGTGTAGGATATTAACACCTATGGACTCCAGCCAACAAAGTCAAATAATGAAGGATGATGTGAACTGCAGTAAAAAAATATTTTCTCGTTCTTGAAAAAGAAGCAGAAACTTTAGAGAGAGGATCACTTTCTTCCCAGTTTTTTTTTGCCCTGGGCATTACCATAACTGTATGTGATGGCAGACAAGCATCAGGAAAGCAGAGCAAGAAATGATAAAGGAAACATAGACTAGACACCAGACAAGCCTCAGCAGCACCAGCTAGACTTAGCTACTTCATGCCAATTTTTAATTGCTTGTTGATAATGTTTGCATGTGTGTGTGCCTGCTATGCACTTCAGTTCTATTAAATTGGACCTGTCTGGAATTTAAGAGAACCCTATGCAAAATATAAGTGTTTGAAAGTGAAGTTTGGATTCAGGTATGAAGGTGGTTAATATTCCTGTAAATGTTTTTGGAGTTTGACCAACGTACTCCAAATAGTATGTGGAGTATGCAAGTGTGAGTTACCAATAACAAAATTGCCTGAAACATGTTATCCATTTCTATTGAGAGTAATGAAGACATTAGAAAGCCCCAAACTCATGTTTACAGATGTCGAATATTGTTAAGTATGTGTTTGGCATGTAGCAGTCAATATCAACAACAGAAATGGAGTCCCATAGGGACAGAGAACCTGGTCAGGTTTGGTGGTTCCTGAGCAAGTATTGATAAGTTTCTCTATCAATCTGGGATGTGGTCCCATTATGGGAGAAAGATATAAACAAAGTAGAGTATTTAAAATAAGTGGCATGGAAGCCTATCAACCGATATGTTTCTCCTGATTCACCTTTGCACATTAGAGAAAGAAAGGCTGCCCCAAATATGCCAATGGCTCCAGTTCTACTTTAATGTCAACACAACTATTTGGCCATGGACTGAGCCAAATTAATCCCAATTGCAGATAAATGGCCTGTGAATGTATGTCTTTAAAAGGGTATATCCACACCACACAATGCTGGACCTTTTGATGTAACATTCAGATGGAATCCTGGAATTTATAGTTTGGTAAACAACATACAATTATTTGCTTAGAGTATTGCACTGACCTACAGGAAAGAATTACAACACATTACAAATCTCAGCAGGTGGCCCTTGGACATTAAGAGCTATAATGTTGTGAATTGGGTTGATATACCCCAAAGAGAGCAAGAGCAGAAATAGGATCAGACCACAAGAGTTGGCCGGAGAACCATCCTGTATTAAGCTCACAGCAGAAGGAAGAGATCACTCTAACAAACAAGGCTCACACTTCCACCTTGTCGCGTTCTGTTTCACTTTCACCTTTTCCAAAGTCTGGTCCCATTTCTTTCCCTTTTGCTTGGCTTTCTCCATGGGGTAGGGTGAATGCGCCACTCTTCCACTGTTCTCCTGCTGTTCTGGCTCCTCCGTCTTACAGGCATTCATACCACCAGCCCTTTCCTTGTTCACCACCCAAGGAGGAAAACAAACATTAACCCGGATCGCTCTTGATATAGAATATCCTTAGCTAAAGTCCTTAGAAGCTGTTTCCTTGTAAAAATGCTTCCCTCCAAAGGGTTTAGGTCACCTGAACCTTCTCTGTGGTTTCTGAGCTTGGCTGATTTATTGCTTTTTAATGGCTTTTGTGGTTTCTTGTGTGCCTGGATTGAGAAAGACAGGGAAAACAGAAATGTATATGGCACCTTGTAGCTCTGTGCAAGGAAGAGAACAATGTTTGCAGGAAAGGCTTTTGTTGGCATTGACACATTTAACATTCCATTAAACAAACATTAAAATAGGATTCCCCCCCCCCCCCGTGTTTAAAATCCATTTACATGAATGAGAGCATGCATGTGTGGTGCATTTATGCACAGAATGCTCAAGAATCATGGGATTTGTAATTTGGGCGAGGCACCAGCACTCTTTGGCAGGGAATGCGAAAGACCTTGTAAAATTACAGTGGCATTAATGGCATTAATTCTTCAGTATAGACACATCCCAAGTTTTAGAAAGAATTACTTAGGAAGCTTAGAGAAGGGAGGTGACATAAGATATATACTTAAATATCTGAAGGGATGTCTTACAGACGCCAGTGCAAGTTTGCTTTCTGCTTCTACAAAGACAAGAATCATGAAATTACAAAACAAGGGTTTCTGCTCTCTTTTTAACCAGGGGGTACTGTGAAATTGTGATGTTATGTTGACTCTTTAATATTTATGTTTTGCACTTGTTGTATTATTCAAGTTACACCTTGTGTGTTCTGTGAGCTACTCCAAGTCCCTCTGGGAAATGGTGGTGGGATACAAATAAAAGATTATTATTATTATTATTATTATTATTATTATTATTATTATTATTATTATAGTATATTTATTGATTAGCCCTTAGGCCATACCACAATATCAAACAAAACAACAAGGCTTGATAAGACTTGATCACACTCCATGCAGTAAGTTAAAATAAGCCACTTATAACAATACAGTAAATAAATATAATATATTTATTTTTATTTATTTACTATGCTTCTATACAGCCATTCTCAGCCCAAGGGCGACTCATGGCGGTTTACAAAACGGCACAATTTGATGCCCAAACAGCACAAAAATAATTTAAACATTAAAAACATTTAATACAGGTAAAAATTCATTAAAACAGATATAATTGAGCATATACATAATATTTCCTTATCACTCCTACAATTTATCCCGATCAGCCCTACATATGTGGTTATCAGATGTATTGTTTTGCTTAAATACAGAGCTGTTTTATATGTTATTTTTGGGTCTTGCTATTATTATTGTTGTTGTTGTTTTGTTTGTTTAACTGTAATAGCTGTTTGACAGTGGAATAGATTGTTTCAAAGAGTGAGGGACTTTTGGAAGGGTTTTAAACACAAGGTGGATGGGCATCTTTCAGGAGTGCTTTATTCTTGTATTGCTGCATGGCACGGGGTTGAACTAAACAGTCCTCGGAGTCCCTTTCAACTGCATGATTCTATGAAATTAGGTCATCATTATGAATAAATAATTGGATAGTAAATAATATGGACAACTTCTTTCATGCATGGCAGTAGGAAGAACATTGTTTGCTCAAACCTAGAAATTGACTATGGCACTGATGACGAAAGGACATATGATTAATAAGCAATCTAATGGCCTTTATCTAACTATGGTTATTATCATTCCATCAAGCTTGTTAGTTTGATCTGTAGTAGTAAAATAATACATCTTCTTTCTTGATTTTTAAACTTTTTATTACAGTTTAGCTGCCAATCCAAAGCTTTTTAATGTTAGTGTTTTAGTTGGTATTTCTTGTTTTAAGTTGGAGATTTGATTCAGTTTTACACAGGTGTAACTTTATATATATCTATTTTTTCACTCTTGGTTTTTTACTTTAGTTATGTTCCACACTGTTTTTGATAGAATCTGTAAATAAATACTTCCAAAAGGAGAGAAAAGAAACAAGGCCATTATTTCTATCTTCCCTTCCCAATAGAACCTGGCTTTTGGACCTTAAGGAGGAACCATCCTGCAAAGCCTGCATCCTGTGGTCTAACCCCTTCCCCTCTCCGACCTTTCTTTTCCAGGCTCCCCTTCTCTGCGGGCCTATCCTCTCATCTCGGTCATCACCCGGCAGCCCTCTGCCATCTCCCACTTCATCCCAGCAGGGAGCACTTCTTCGCGGGTCCTCTCTCCGCACCCGACTCCAGGGAGCACCTGTTCCTCGGAGACTCAGGCCAGTGAAACTCATGGGAGCAGCGAATCTGAGACGGAGCAGCCCACCCCTCGCTTGAAAAAGCCCCGTCGGAGTCGGACCATCTTTACGGAACTACAGCTCATGGGCCTGGAGAAGAAATTCCAAAAGCAGAAATACTTATCTACACCAGACAGGTAGGTTGAAAAACTATAGATAATGAAAATTAGTTTGGCATCTTGGTCTCAGACCAGGGGTGAGCCACTCTGAGGGCCTGGGAATCCTCTTTTGCTTGCCCATGCTAAATATCTCTCTACTGAAACCACTGCCAGGAAAAAGTAACTTAATTAAAAATTATTGTCTCCAAATGTCACCCCCCCCTTCCATTGATGAGATGTAAGGGAAATTTTATCATATTTTCTAGGACCTATGGGCTATTTCTAGGCCCATGAAAGAATCACTTTTAACAATAGAACAGTGCTTCTCAACCTGTGGGTCCCCAGATGTTTTGGCCTTCAACTCCCAGAAATCCTAACAGCTGGTAAACTGGCTGGGATTTCTGGGAATTGTAGGCCAAAACACCTGGGGACCCACAGGTTGGGAACCACTACAATAGAAAGTTACTTGCTGTTCTGAAATGGCCCAGGGAACTCCAAAGATATGACAAATCTTCCCCTATGTCTCTTAGATGGCATCTAGAGACATTTTAACTCTTTTGCCTGCAACCCAGAGGCTGGAGGAAAATTGGTAGGATGGACACATCTCTTTCCACCCCTCTTTCTCATGATTTCTCATTTCTCCCCAATTTATTTTGTCTTGATTTTTCCTATAAGCACTTATGTCAACTCACCATGGTGGAAATGATCAGGAAGGTCAACACATATTTTTGGTGTCTCAAATGTTAGACTTGTTTCTGGATATGTTTGACCTGCTGATTCCAAAAATAGCACCACTTTTCCCATATCAGCACTAGTTTTTGAGATACATAACCTAGTCCATCTATCAATCTTTATCTGCTCACCTGTTAAAAAAACAAATTATGTCTAAGAAACTAGTGCTAATGTGGTATATCCAATGCAATGTTCTGAATCAGTGCCCCAAATAACCCCAGGAACAGACCTAAACTGATTTTTTTTTGTTGGGCTGTATTTCCCATCCCCTGTTTTATGTTATATGGAAAATGTAATTCATCTGAGGATATCTTCATGTCCCAGTAGCAAATGCCTACTTGCACATGAATAACATAGTGAACCAAGCTTGAGGATCTGCAGCTGCATCATGCGCTGATGTAAGCAAGCAGATGGCCTTGGGTTTTTTTTTTTTGCTGCCCTTAAATGTTCACTCAAATGTTCCACTCCACACTTGTCTGTGTGGTGATTTGTGCAAGGAAAATCACGAAGTGAGATTTAAGTGCTGGAGCAAGTGTCTCCAGGGCTGGGGACTGGTGGGAGGGCTGCCCTCCTGGCCACTAAGGAAAGGTGCTTGTTGTGCTCCTCTCAGCTGTTCAGGTGCTGAGAGCCCCAGGATGGCTTCTGAGCATGTGAAGAGGAGGCTGCTCTTGGTTGAGGGTTTGCTCGCATGATGGGCTCAGATTTCAAAGTGCCCTTTCCTTAGAATCAAAGGCTACATGAATAGATCAAATTAGTGGAAAATACATACCACACTGTGAGAGAGCTTGCCAGCGTGGATTATGCACAGCGATACAAGTAAGGAACACACAGAGAAACTGGTTTTCTTCCTGGTTACCTTTGAAAGGGTGACCTAGATATTTCCAATGGCTGATATAAGGAGGGGAAGCGATTCCTGTGATGAGCCAGAGGAGAAGGAAGACAGTTGCTTGTTCATACACTCTCTCAATCGTTTTCTCATTGTCCACATTTTTTTAAAAAAACTTGTTAGCCAAAGGTATAACATCATCCACATAGATTGCACAATTGGCTTTTCCTGGTACAAGCTTGTTATGCATTGGATTGTCCTGTGAATCCTCGCAGCTCACTCACTGTTTACTTGCTATAGTTTGTTGTTGGCTACACCACCACCAGAGACACGTTCTACGCAACTCACCTCAAATTATTAATAAAACAGAGCATTATCAATATTTGCTTTTGGCTTTTCTCATTTAACCCTCTACTCCCCTTTTGTTTTGCATTTGGCACACTCAGATCCTCCTCCTCCTCTCTTTCTGCCCACACACTGTTGGTGCATGAAGTCATGCTGTTGGCATTTCAGTTGCTTGGCACTCATGGTCAGGGCTAGATGCCCACCAGCACACCCAGTGCATTCAGATGCTTCAAACTGTCAGATTTCCAAAAAAGCTCAAATGTTCAGCATGTTGGAATTATGCACCCCCTTAGCAAATGGTCCATGTTCAAGGAGGATCAAGTATCTGGGCGGTGAACGTCAGGCTAGAACCTCACAGGACTGGTTGGGCGGCACCATCAATCATGCGCTCAGGCGGCTGCTGAATGAATTTCCTGGTGCTAATACGCCTTGGCATCGTACGTGACTGAGCCTGATGAGCAAGCCCTGCTTCTGCGGTTCTCCGACCCTCTCCCTTTGTTTGTTGCTTTGGTTTCCTAGGCAGTGCTCCTTGTTTTGAACAGGCGCAGCAATGGGTTCGTAAGGGCTGTAGGCAATCTCGTTGCCAGTTGGCGCAACAAAGCCATCTTGACCCAATTCAATGTGAATTTTGAGCTTTGATAAACCCACTAGCAAGGCCAAAACTATTTTGTCTTTATTAGAGTAGAACCATTGAATCAATGGGATTCATTTTGTTGGGCAGACCTGTATCATCTTACATAACTTTTACAAAGTCAATGCCAAGTATCACAGTTCTCCATTTTTCTATATCTCATTATGTACATGGCTATTTTTGTAGTCCTCAGAGGCCCCAAAAGGTGAGAAGGGATCACATAATTTTTGCAAAAAAAAAAAATACTTTTCTATAATTTATTTATTCTACATTTGGAAGGTGCTTAGGCCAAGTTGGGTTTTGAAATAAGAAGTGGACATGAGGGTTTTTGGATTTTTTTAAAAAAACTTTCAAGTCATGGAAGGTTGAATGCACAGATATGGATATGGAGGTCCAACTGTATAGGCAAGATAGACAAAAATAATGATTAAAATGTAAGTAAACTACATATAGAACGAAATGAATAGAAAGTATTCATTGGGGAAGCCAAAAGGAGAGACTTGATCCTTCTTACAGAAAACCACGGTGTTGAAAGTCATGCCATCTATCAGAAGTTAGTATATCAGTCATTATTCACTGACTTTGATAAACCTTATATCAATTTTATAAAAGATTCATTGATACAAATACAGATGTGTATTGGGAAAAATGATATTTTCCCTAAGACTACCCAATTGCTGTTCAAACGTGTTCCGCATATTGTGTCCTGTATGTGAGAGTATTGAATATTCTAAAGCCTTTGACTGTGTGGATCATAATAAATTGTGGCAAGTTCTTGGTGGTATCGGCATACCAAATCACCTTATCTCTCTCCTGAGGAATCTGTATAAGGACCAAGTAGCAACAGTCAGAACTGACCATGGAACAGCAGACTGGTTCAAGATTGGGAAAGGGGTACAGCAGGGTTGTATACTCTCACCCAACCTATCCAACTTGTATGCAGAACACATCATGCGATGTGCAGGGCTTGACGAATGCAAGGCTGGGGTGAAAATTGCTGGAAGAAACATTAACAACCTTAGATATACAGATGAAACCACTTTGATGGCCGAAAGCGAGGAGGAGCTGAGGAGTCTTCTAATCAAGGTGAAAGAAGAAAACTCAAAAGCTGGCTTGCAGTTAAACATAAAAAACCCTAAGATTATGGCAACAAGAATGATTGACAACTGGGAAATAGAGGGAGAAAACGTGGAGGCCGTGACAGACTTTGTATTTCTAGGTGCAAAGATTACTGCAGACGCAGACTGCAGCCAAAAAAACAGAAGATGCTTACTTCTTGGGAGGAGAGCAATGTCCAGTCTCGATAAAATAGTGGAGAGACATCACACTGGCAACGAAGATCTGCATAGTTAAAGCAATGGTATTCCCCGTAGTCACCTATGGATGTGAGAGCTGGACCATAGGGAAAGCTGAGCAAAGGAAGAGAGATGCTTTTGCTGGAGGAAAGTTCTGAGAGTGCCTTGGACCGCAAGAAGATCCAACCAGTCCATACTTCAGGAAATAAAGCCCGACTGCTCATTGGAGGGAAGGATATTAGAGACAAAGTTGAAGTACTTTGGCCACATCATGAGGAGACAGGAAAGCTTAGAGAAGACAATGATGCTGGGGAAAATGGAAGGAAAAAGGAAGAGGGGTCGACCAAGGGCAAGATGGATGGATGACATCCTTGAAGTGACTGGCTTGACTCTAAAGGAGCTGGGGGTGATGACAGCCGACAGGGAGCTCTGGCGTGGGCTGGTCCATGCGGTCAGGAAGAGTAGGAAACAACTGAATGAATGAACAACAACAACATGTGAGAGTAAGGGGAAACAAAGCAGCTCTCTTTATCTTGTCCTGCCTCCTAATCATAAATGTCTCCAAGGAGCATCTTTTCATATTGTTCCTTTAAAGACATCTGTGGTGTCAACCCAAGATGTCAGGAGATTAGTTCAGTTGACTGGAAAGGCCTCTTTTATTAAGAAAACTTTAGAGGTTTGCAACCACTTGGGGCCTTTTCACACTACAGAATCATAGCACTTTGATGCCACTTTAACATCCATGATTACATCCTTTTTTTTTTTTTAATTTTTTTTATTAATTTATCACTTTATTACATACTATTACATTTTGTACATCAACCTCTTTAACATGTTATTTTATTATTTTACTCTGACATTTCTCCCCCTTTTTCTTTTTTTTTCCCCCCTTATTTTCACCACCGTGCTCCCCTCCACCCATCTCAAGCCACAATTTTTACATATCATCTGTCCAAAATCTCATTTCTTCTTGTGACGGTAACTTTCCTTCCTTATTTTTTAAACCATTTACCACAAATTTTCCCCATACAGCATCAAAGTCGCTTTGTTTCCATATACCTTTTTTAACCTTTAATATACATGTCAATTTATCGTTTATTGCTATTTTTCATGCTTCTTTATACCACTCCTCTATTTGTATATTCATTTCTTTTTTCCAATTCCATAATTACATCCTATAGAATCCTAAAATATCTAACATAGAGAAGCAAAAGAGAATTCAACTGATCTCATTATTCCAGGATTTCATAGGAAGAACCCACTGAAGTTAATGCTGTATCAGTGTTATAATTGGATACTGTGCAAGAAACCTTAGTACTGACCATGGAAGACGACACTGTGGACCTTCCAGATATTTTGGAGTTCAGCTTTTAGAAGGCCCAACCAACTTCATCAACAGTTGAGGATTTGGGGAGTTGAAACCCTGAACATCTGGAAGATTAAAGTTTAAGAGGAATAGGCTTGATTGATTGATCAGTGGCTTGACATTTAACTATGTATAAGATAGCTTCCGGCATTTCTGTCTATGGGAGACATTTTAAAGCAGACCTCAAATGGTAATCAGTCAGAAACGAAAGCTATTTCCAATCTTTGCAAAGGAAACCCTCTGTGCCTCATGTTGTTCATGAAGAGATTAAGAATGTCATATGTACACAAGCACTCGAAGTCCATCGTAGGGGAAATGACTTGGCAAAATGCAAGAATAATTCAGAATCATTTACCATGCAATCATCAGTGTGTGAGACGTGACGGGGAACATCAGGTTTGGCTTATCTTGCCCCTCACACCTTTTGTGTTTCTGGTTCATCGAAGTCAATCATGGCATAACTAATATGTAATAGCTGAAGGTTTCATCTGTGTTTCTTTGTTCAGTGAGTTTCATGCAAGCAAATGTACTCTTTCATTCTGCCCTGACTCTGGATTAAAATACTTGTTGTATAAACACAAGGCTCATTTTGGGGGAAGCCACCTTGGTTTTTTAAACGTAATTTCCCATGAGACCCAGCTAAATATGAATTGATTTTAGAATAGGCTGGATAGTCAAATGAGATTTATACAATTTCGTTCTCTTGTAAAATCAGATACATTTATTTCATATCACGCCAGATAACCATGTTATGCTTAAAAGGACTTTTGAGGAAGTTCTAGGCAGAATGTGGATCATAATATTATGATAGATCTAGATGGAGTTGTGCTAGATTGCCAAGGGTTTCCAGTGGCCAACCCCACAATAGCAAATGTTGGCCTTGTGTTTGTTTCTCTTACCTTTCATATAATATCTAAATCTTAGTTATTCCATTTAAGACTCAGCTAATTAAACTACATTAAAAGTAGACATTTCTGTCTAAGTTTCTTTGGTTGCTTTTTAGGTGTTTCACATTGTGTCCCAGTCACTTGATTTAATATTTTCTCTGAATGGAATGGAAAACACCATTAACAAGGAGCTCATAGTTGGCTTTCCTTGATTTTCCCACTCTGAGATATGAACAGTTCAGTTCGTTCATTTTCAACAGGATGTATATAATCAGATTTTGGCACTAGATTGCATGCCTTATCATTTATGTCATTAATTTGAATCTCATTTTTGCTAGGCTGGATCTTGCCCAATCCCTGGGTTTAACTCAGCTCCAAGTGAAGACTTGGTACCAAAATCGCAGAATGAAATGGAAGAAAATGGTAAGAGACAAGATTTTTGGACTACGCCTATCTTCAGCCCCAAAATGTAGGGCTAGGTGGTGGCTTTCATGTCAATCCACTCTGTAGTTTATCTCAGAGTTCAAGCGGAATATCTAAAGTGCTGAACTTATTTTGGGAATAGGGTTTGGCACTTTGGAAAGTTATTTTGAAGTTTGGAAGAACACCCTAATTATTCATTGCCCCACAGACATGGTTGTCAACAACTATTGCTATGCAAATGGGATTAAGCATGATTATAGATGAGATTCAGTGTGTGTAGTGGTTTGGGTGTTGGATTAGGACTCTGGAGACCAGGGTTTGAATCTATTCATGGCCATGAAAACCCGTTGGATGACCTTGGACAAATCTCATGCACACAGTCTCAGAGGAATGCGAAGGCAAATCCCCACTGAACAAATCTTGCCAATAAAATCCTGTCTGCCATAGGGCCACCATATGTCAAAAACAACTTGATGGCGACAACAGAAATGTTTAAATCTGGGCCCAACTCCTAAAGTACAGGGGCTCACAGACAATAAAGGGTTGGTTTTAATGGAGCAAATGAGCATTGTTCCATCAGTGAAGTCAGCATTGGTTTATTATTTTCCACCAGGGCTTTCCCAACAGTTCTTGTCTTCAAGATGTGATGAAAATAATCATAAAGATTACATTTACGAGTATTTATACCACATATTTTCCTGGTTCAGGATTCTAGGTGGCTTACAACAGCTAAGAAATGCACAGTATACAACAGTATACATGGATCTTCTTATAGTGCTATGTTATTTATTACCTGCATCATAAATATTGTTTTAGGGAATCTAGCGATTATGACAGTAATAGAAAATGAAACCAGTTGTGGAATGGAATGAAATATCCTAGAAAAGGACAAAGTTGGCTGTCCCATCCCTGATGGAAAATCGGGGATAGGGGGAGAATCAGGGAATACCAGGTGCCTAAGAGTCACATCTGATCCCTCCAGGACTATATGAGCTAGACTTCTGATTTACTGTATCTTTGCCTTAGGTCCTGAAAGGTGGTCAAGAAGCTCCCACCAAGCCCAAAGGCCGGCCCAAGAAAAACTCCATTCCAACGTCAGAGGAAATTGAAGCAGAGGAAAAGTTGAACAGCCAGAAACAAATCCTGGAAGAAGACCAGGCCACAGAAAAGTGTGAGTCGACCAAGGAGCATTTGGATGCCTCCATAGAGACACAAGAACTTCCCGAACATACAGTGGAACCCTCCAAGGAGGAGACAACATCAAGTTAAAAGAGTGAAGGGAAGAAGATATAACTGCACCCTTAAAGGACAGTGTAAAAACTGAATTTGCCTGCACTTTGTGCCTTAAGAAATTTGGTGGGTCACCATGGGGCAAAGAGACTTATTGTAATGGGTGACTTCATATAAACTGGTTCCTTTTTTCCCAATGTTGTGTGTACACCCTTCCCATAGATATCCTGGAACTAGGGATCCCCTCGAAAGGAGATTGCATGCTTTAAAACTCCGAGGCTCTGGAGATGTGTGAGGAGTCCAGGTTGTGAGAAGAGACTCTTTAGTAGCTACATTGTTTTGGACAGAGTGGATCTTTCTCGTGCCATTATTGCTATCCTGAGCTTTGAAATGAGTTCAGAGAAGCAACTGCCAAAGAGTGAGAGAGTTCCTACCACCAGCATAGTTTTTTCCCTGTAAGTAATGCTTAAGCGGGTATGGGTCAAAACCAACATTTTTCATGGGAGTCAAACTGTGGGATATTGATGTTCTATCACACTGTAACCAAAGATTCTTTGGAGGGGAAGAGAAAAATACAGAAGAGATCTCAGACTCACTTGGAAAATTTAAAGGCGTTTTCACAATGGAGGAATTTGGAGCCTGCTAGAAGGGGGCTTCCAAGATGGCAACCTTGAAACTGTTAGTGGAAACAGAGATTGGAGTGGCAAGGGGGGGGGGGGCACTTTAGCTGAATGTATTGGTTTGCTTAGATATTGATGTGGAAGCAAAATTTGCAAAAGTTGAAGGGGAAAGAATGTATGGCTGCCTATTGCTGTGAAGTAAACTATCCAAGATCCAAAAAACGATGCACACATATTTTTCAGGATGACAGTTCTGGGCATCTGCCAAGGCCCAGTTGACTTCAAGAGACAATCAACTAAAACTCATTGTGGTTTGCTGTTCCTCTTCACTGTTGCAGCCTATTAATCTGCTTTCTCTTAACAAACAAGAACAGATCTTCTGTTAGCGACATATACAAGTGTAGGTCTACCTTATGCTGCATATTTCTTTTATAATTGTTGTGTTGGTATTCTCTTCATTCCACAACAACTCAAGGCCCTGTCCTGGGCCTACCATTGAGTTTCTGCAGTGCTCTGTGGCCATTCTGCAGCTTGTAGAGATCTGGGGTGAGGGGAGAACCCAAGAAGCATCTAGCTGTATCCCCTTGGCTAGATGTGAAATGATGGTATCATCTGCTAGGTCCTTCATGGTTCTCAGCAGATGATGTAACAATTCCACCTTTGACTATGGTGACATAGCCAGGCACATCTCCAACTTCTCACCTTTCCACCAGTCATAGAATGATGGAAGAGGCTGCAGTGACATGATAATAATTCTTCAAAGGTTGAATGTTTCAGTTGGAATTGTTCCACATACTGAGCTACAGGATTCTGGCCAAGCAGTGTAAAGAATGAAGAGGCGGAGCCACATTTACCAGTTTCCTTGTGATTTACCAGTTTCCTTGCATCCTTGGGAAAAGGTTGGCCAATAGTAAGTGACAGTGTCAAGGAGGAGGCATGTATATCTAGTGATTTGGGAATATTGAAGGCATCTTGCCCAGTAGGTAGGAGTCCATATTAGTAGACCTCACCTATCCCCCAGAAGAAAGATACAGGAACCTTTGTGCCAGTATGTCTACATCTACTGTGAGAAGCCTTTAAATCTAAAAACAGTTAATACCATATAACTAAATTAACATGTTAAGGTCCGAATCCTATTGGTAATCCCGATTAGAATAAAATGAAGCATTTATTCAAGCAATCTTCCAACCCAACATCTCTTTCCTGAATTTCAAAAAGAATTTGCATGTTGAGTATTATATATTTGTGTATTGTGTATATTATACATTTGATTGATGAACACTGCCTTTAGTTTTATGGATATAAGTGGTGTGTAAATATTCTCCAATAAAAAAGAGTATACCCGTTCAGTCAGTGGGATTTACACACAGGCTAACTCACCATTTAGCAGTCAATTCCATGGGTCTATTCTGGTTGGGACTACCAATAGGATTCTATATAGGATTGTATATTTTTTAACTCAGGACTGGTCTACATTTGGAAAGGTCCTTGCAACTTTCGGACCAGATCTGCATGAAAAATGCATTTTAAAATGTGTTTTGGTTAATATTTTTTTTCCAAAATATGTATTGTAAAACATATCTCAATACACTTTTGCTACTGAGAATTATCTTTCAACCTGCTGGAAGGGCTAATCTGTGGATACTGTTCAGGTGTTCTGATTGGCAGGAAAAATTTACCCTCATTCAGTGCACTTATTGGCTGTCTCCTCCTTCCACTTCCCACTTGTTCTCAGCTAATTTCACTTGCTGAAAGTACTAAAGCAATCTGTACTCAATGAAAGTGGGGTGGGGAGCTGAAGAGGAGGCAGAATGTTAGATGCAGGCAAAAGCAAACTTTAGAGGTCTCTCCAAACTCGGGTTTCTTATAAATAACCTTGGTCATCTTCTTTCCCAGCTGATATGTGAAATTAGTTCCAAAGATGTTACTCAACTCAGTTTGTATCAGAATCTGCAAAAGGGCAAATCCTTCAAGGGCCCATAGTTTATACACACAGTAGAATGAAGCACTAAGTATCTTGAGAGCTCACCAGGGTCGGAACAATTTAATTTAAATTAATTAACCGACTAAAATTAAATTCTAAGCATGTAATTACATATACCACTTGGGTCCACTAGAATTATAATAAAAGTTGCAACTTGAGGCCTAAATCCAGTTCTTAGTCCCAACTGAAGTAGACTCATTGATCATAAATGTTTGTTGACAAATTTTCCAAACCATTCAAGTTTGAAACATATACTCTCAACCTTCCACATTTCCTAGAATAAAGAATGTGGGGCTTCTGTGAAAGTGAAAAGAAATTGGTATTTTTCACCTTTTTTTTGTCATGTCAGGAGCGACTTGAGAAACTGCAAGTCGCTTCTGGTGTGAGAGAATTGGCCGTCTGCAAGGACGTTGCCCAGGGGACGCCTGGATGATTTGATTTTTTTATCATCCTTGTGGGAGGCTTCTCTCATGTCCCTGCATGAGGAGCTGGAGCTGATAGAGGGAGCTCATCCGTCTCTCCCCGGATTTGAACCTGCGACCTGTTGATCTTCAGTCCTGCCAGCACAGGGGTTTAACCCACTGCGCCACCCGGGGCTCCATTTTTCACCTGAGTGAGTACTTCCCTAGGAAGATAGATCTTCCTGTTTTAATTCCATGGTCAACGTCTTCTAGAATATAGCCATCAAATTATATTAAAGGACCTAGAAGTCGTTCTCTAGCAATCTCTAGGTCTTCCAACATAACTTGAGGATGCTGATCACAGAGTCATATTGGAGAATCTGGAGAGAACACTTTAAATCAAATCTGTGATTAGTCAAATCCATACAAGTCAAACACAAATGTGGAAGAATGGTTGTTGGATCATTCACTTGTTAATAATAATTGGATTTAAGATATGGGTGACTATCCTGCAACCATCGATAAATCATTGAAATGCACCTCCCAACATTCCTCAATATTGCTAAGGAAGGTCTGCTGGGACTTGCAGTGGAAAAACTGCCGGAGGGCAGCTTGATTTCCACTCCTCTAGATTCCAGATGTGGACCTTAGTATTTAAGCATATGGGATGGAACTAGAGTTTTTAAACAGTAAGGTGTGAATTGATGATTAACTCAAGTTTGTAGTAAAATCTGCTCATCATCAGCTCCAAGAGGCATATGTTGGAACACTTTGCAGGAATGTGTAATCATGGCTTGCCAGGTCTGGAGCCATTTCTCCTGTTTTGTAAGGCACTTAACTTTCGGAACACAGAAACATCTTGAGCAACTGGGCAGAGCAAGTCACGGAATTAAGAAGAAAACTCTGCAGGAGAAGTATTGCATTTATTTTCCAGTCCAGTGTGCCAAGATCTAGATATGCATCATGTTTCCTATAGTCTTGTTAAATGGAAACCTACTGTGCATTATTTTTGCCCAAAGGCTGAAGAGAGGTGTATCAAGATAACATTTATTTTTTAATTAAAAATAAAATGTATAAATAATGGAGTAAAAAAAAGTCTCATTTTTTTCCAAAGTTCTGACAATTGGATACGTATGTTTTGTTTTTCATTTTGCTGGGCCAAAAAGCTTGGAGTAAAACAAAAAGGGAGACTCTGGGATCCTATCTACACTGAACATCTAATGCAGTTTGAAACCAATTTCAAACTGTTGTGGCTAGACAACAAAATCCCACTAATGTATGTAAACTGAAGCCTTTAATATGCATCCATGCTGTGGTTTGTGTAACTGCCATCCCGCCTCATAATGGTTCCTGGATTTCCTGTGTAATCATCTGCACAGCGAAACCACTTTCCTCAATACTGGTTCGACAGTGCATAATCCATGTAGATGGGGTTTGGGAAAAGTTGGAGGGTTAGGAGACAGACTTTCCTGTTTTATTGCCACCCTGTGGATAAGAAAGACACCTGCTGCTTCTGCATGCACAATCCTGTGTAAGGATTGCTGTTCCTATGTGCCTTCAAGCTGTTTCCAACTTATGCCAACTTTAAGGAAAATTTACTGCTTTTTTGCAAGATTTTTTTCTAAGGGGATTTGCTTATGGAAATCCTATATTTTTCTTCATATTTTTCCAGTCCCACACAATCCCTCGTCTTCAGATTTTTAAGATTTTGTGTACATTCATAGAACTGTAATGCCAAGTAAGCAACTGGTTGCACTGGGGACACATACAGTACATACATGACTGTTGAGAACACAACCATTTTGTGCTACGAGTGTGTCTCAACTAGATTTCAGATGTAGGGGTTAGCTGAGCTTCCCAAGGTTTAAAGATAGGGGAATTCATCAATGAGGATTCTCTCATGGGGCCATGAAGATATTTGATGGAAAGAAGGAACATGGAGAAAGATTTCCAAAGATGACCTGAGGTAATATGAAGTTGTAAGAGGAAGAGGCATACATGGTCTTAAGCCATAACAAACAAAAGTGGAGACCCTTTTTCAAACCAAACAGCAAATTCAGTTTGATAGAAGCTACATGGAGCCACTTGCCAGAGAAGGTCTCAAGCTTTCATTGTCTATAACAGCGTTTCTCAACCTGGGGGTCGGGACCCCTGGGGGGGTCACGAGAGGGTGTCAGAGGGGTCATCAAAGACCATCAGAAAAAAACAGTATTTTCTGTTGGTCATGGGATTCTGTGTGCGAAGTTTGGCCCAATTCTGTCGTTGGTGGGGTTTGATATTTGATATTATTTGCTCTTTGATATTAGGTGAACTATAAATCCCAGCAACTACAACTCCCAAATTCCAAGCTCTATTTTCCCCAAACTCCACCGGTGTTCACATTTGAGCATATTGAGTATTCGTGCCAAGTTTGCTCCAGATCCATCATTGTTTGAATCCACAGTGCTCTCTGGATGTTGGTGAACTAGAACCCCAAAACTCAAGGTCAATGCCCACCAAACCCTTCCAGTATTTTCTCTTGGTCATGGGAGTWCTGTATGCAGTCTATCATTGGTGGATTTCAGAATGTTCTTTGATTGTAAGTGAACTAGAAATCCCAGAAACTACAACTCCCAAATGACAAAATCAATACCCCCCCTCCCAACTCCATCAGTATTCAAATTTGGGTGCATTGGGTATTTGTGCCAAATTTGGTCCAGTGAATGAAAATACTTATAGTCCTCCTATCAGATATTTACATTATGATTCATAACAGTAGCAAAATTACAGTTATGAAGTAGCAACAAAAATAATTTTATGGTTGGGGGTCACCACAACATGAGGAACTGTATTAAGCGGTCGCGGCATTAGACAGGTTGAGAACCACTGGTCTATAACGAAGCCTTAGGGGAGCCACTTCAACCTCTRGTTGTTTATTCATTCAGTCGCTTCTGACTCTTTGTGACCTCATGTACTAGCCCAGGCCAGAGCTCCCTGTCAGCTGTGGCCACCCCCAGCTCCTTCAAAGTTAAGCCAGTCACTTCAAGGATGACATCCCTCCACCTTGCCCTTGGTCGGCCCCTCTTCCTTTTTTCCTTCCATTTTCCCCAGCACCATTATCTTCTCCAAGCTTCCCTGTCTTCTCATTATGTAGCCAAAGTCCTTCATTTTTGTCTCTAATATCCTTCCCTCCAATGAGCAGCCGGGCTTTATTTCCTGGAATATGGACTGGTTGGATCTTCTCTTGGTCCAAGAGAAAAAAATATTATGCAAAACCCGAATAATCAAACAACGGTGTCATAGGAAGGAGGCTTAGCTATTCAGGGAAATCTATGGATCAAGACCATTGGAGATCATATCCAGCCTCAGAGCCTTATGTTGATGCATAGCTTTACAGGCCAAAATAAATAGTAAATTGAGCCCTACGATGAACTGGTAACCAGTGAAGGCCATCTCTACCAATGATGTCAACTTTGTGGGAACATCTCGCTCTCCTCAAATGATAGAGAATGTGGTTTCTTACTAAACTTGAGACCTGAAGCGTTTCTCAATTTGTGTCTAAGTTTAACAACTGGCTCAATGTCAATTCCCTCACTCCTCCCAAAAAACATGAGGTTGAAACAGTTCCGCAGGTGTAGTCTTTGGCCCTGAAATATCATTTAGCCCTTGGAGAAAGCCAGCAGCAGTGTTATGATATGGGAACCTCTAACAAGCCTGTACATGGATGAACTGAAATTTTGGCTTTTATCAGCTCTTCTTAACGGAAGCAATACATTCCCCCATTCCAATTTTCTCTCTTCCATGATGGATGTTCCTTTGAGATGCTTTCTACAATCCAGAAGGATGTTATTTGCTGAAAATATTCAGGTCTTGCCCTATATACACTAGATGGCTTAGAGTAAAATGAATTTAAACAATGTAAGCTTAAAACATTGATAATTCAAAACAATGATGTAAATATTCTAAAAATCCAATTGTACTAAATCAATTGGTGGACAAGCTCTCTCGTCTGGAAGGTAGAGAGCAACAATTGCTGGATTTAATCTACTTTCCTACTGCCATTGCAGTAGGAGAGTGGTTGCTGTCTTTTTAAATGGTAAGCCTGAGGAGAAGA